TTTACAAACATTGAAAAAAATATATCCACATTGAAAAAAAAAATTGTATTTCTAACAGGAAAAAAAAAATTGTATTTCTAACAGGAATATTTGGCCATTTGCCTCTTTATCAAGAGGTCTGTGATTGAATGTTAGCTATGGCTATATTTGCAACATCAATAGGAAATGTGGTGTGAAATTCCTAACTCTTTTGTGAAGCTCAATGATAAAGCCTTAAGCAATTTTTAACATTTATCTTTGACTCACTATACTCACTCGCAACTGAATTACTCAGTAAGTCAGCTTAATTAGACATACTTAATTACATAAATAAAATATGAATGTAATAAAACTTAATTATCAAGTGATTAACTAAATTACTCTAAAATACAATTAAATAAGTATAACTTTTTTAAAATAAGGAAATTTTTTTTTTTCGAACAACATATAAATTTCATTTATAATTTTTTTTACAAAAGTATTGTTTAATTTAAAGATATTTAAAGATATCACTTTTAATGATTTTTAACGTGGTTTCAAATTAAAATTAATCACAATGCAGTACTTTAAAACATGATATTGAGATAATTTAACTTTTAACGACATATGTATATTTTATAAAGTTACATTTACTTGCATTACACAATAAAATCTTATAACAAGGCCTATGTACAAATTTTATCTATTTATTTTTATCTAAATTTTATAAATGTTATATATTTATTTGCATAATTATATACAAAAATTTATTGTCAAAAAATATACCTCTTCCATCTATTTCCCAGATTTGAACTTTTCGATCTGAACCACCTGTTACAAAGTATTTTCCAGAAGGACTAAAACGCACTGTCATGACTTCTCCTTCATGGCACTCCTATTTGACATTAAAAAAAAAAGAAATTTGCATTTAATGAAATTGTGTAATATAATGACAACAACAATAGAAATATACAATCCTGCAAAGTAGAATAAAACCAGAAAGTTTGATATCCTTTTTCCAAATTTTTTTCCTGCAAAAATTAAATAAGTGTCACAGTTGCTACACTGTAGAGTGTTTCAAATACGTTGTTTAGTTACAAAACTATGCATGCATTTAAATGAGTTGTTTAGTTACAAAACTATGCATGCTGCATCTAAATAAGTTGCTTAGGCACAAAGCTATGGATGCTACATTTAAATGAGATGCACATTACAGAACTACAGATGCTACATTTAAATGAATTGCTTAGTCACAACTATAGATATATATTTATATATAAACCATAACAAAGAAAACATAATAACGCTAATTAATGATCATTAATGCTAATTAATGATAAAATACTAAATTGCATATCTTTAAAAGTACATTTGACTCTTTAAAAACTGTTCTACTGATTTTAAAAGATCATTTTATTTAACAAACCAAGTTTGTTTAAACAGAAAACCAAGTTTGTTTAAGAACAGAGTTTGTCAATAAAAAAAAACTCTGTTCGTACAATTTATAAAGATTTGTTATTTCTTTTCAAGGTGAATAGTAAAAGAGAAATACTTAGCATCCTTTCCGCTAAATATCTGTATTAGTCCTTAAACAAGATCTTTTTAAGATCTTGTTTAAGGACTAATAATAATACTTGGTATTAGTCCTTAAACAAGATCTTACCAAACCTTTTAAAAATGCTTTGTGTAGAAAAGATAAATGTTATATAAAAAATTGAATAAAAGAAGCTCCTCTTTATTCTTTTATTAACAGAACTTACTGTTGATTGTGTGGGTCGATCTGGGACAGAAGTTAAGCAGATCATTCCTAGGTTAGAATAGCTTGAAGATCTCTTACCAATTTCAGGGCTCAATGATCTAAAAAATAATTAAAAAAATGTAAATTTTTTTTTTTCATGTTTTAATATATATTTAAAATTTTACAATTATTTAAAAAAAAAACATGTATGGACATTAAGATTGTTCATAGAAGCAATTTTTTTGAATTCTCCAACCTCCTAAATTTGTTTAATATAATAAAATAACACTGGATTTAAAAAATCTTTGAATAAAAAATATTCTTAGAAGATCATACAAACCTTATTGAATACTAAATGGGTTTTTAATACAAAAGTATATTATGTTATGTTAATGGGTTTTTAGCTTAAAAATAATTTGTTATAAAAAAAAAAATGTAAAATGAATATATTTTTTTTAAATATAAAAAACCTTAGTTTTTATGCAATCAAATCTAAAATGATCATTTTGTATGAAATAATTATTATTTTTGAAATTTTGATATAATTTTTCTTTTTTTGAGATTCAGGTTGAACTTTTTTTTAAATAATATTAGGGACCCAATAAATATTCAAAGGTGTTGAGGAACCGCTTAAAACATTTTTTTATTTTCGAAATCTTTAAACACAGTCCTTTTTTATTATATTAAACACATTTAGGGGGTTGAATCAAGTATTTTAAAAAAGCTGCTTTTACTAACCATCCAAATAAACTTTTTAGTATACACAGTATACATTCAAACGCATCATATTAAGGGTTAAGAAAAACAGAAAAATAAAATAGTCTCTCCTTCCAATAAGATGGTTGTGTCTAGTTTTACTAATTAGCTTGCGAAAATTTGATTTAAAAAATAATTGTTTTTGTGCACACACTCACACACACACACAATTCCCTCAGGCGTTCACTGCTCGTGTGTGACCATTCGGCGAATTTTATATGCCAAAGTTTTTAAAAAATATTGGGTCGGCTAAAAAATGTAAACAGATTATTATTTTTTAAAATTTATTTGAAATTTTCAAATTCAAAGCTAATTTTATATATGTACCATTATTGTCTATGACCTCTTGATAACGTTTAGAAAAAGAACAAATGCTATTGATTAAGACTCTTTAGACTTTGAGTCAAAGAAATAATTGAGTATCTGTTGGAGTGACTTGTTATGCAAACTTTTGATTAGTGATTACAAAAAATAACAATCTGTAATCTCAAATGAATAATCTAAAACAAAAAGTCTGTTCAAAAGGAGAATGAATGAGACAGACTTTGAGTCCAAGAAATGATTGAGGACCTGTTGAAGTGACTCGTTGTACAAGCTGTTCTTTAGAACAAATAATAATCTGAATAATAATAATAATAATAATAATCTAAAACACTAAGTCTGTTATAGAGAGTTAATGAGACAAAACTTTGTCATGCCTCAGAAAATTCAAAATAGTTCTGCTTGAAACTTTTTGAATTCAGAATAGATGGTTGTTATTGCAGGTAGTAGGTTGTTGCATTGATTGTGGTGTTCAGAAGAAACAGTTTCCAGTACACAATATCGCACACGACAAAAGTAGGTTGTTGGCTTGATTGTGATTGAAATTCCCCAATTTGAAAGCAAATATTTTTGGGGTGTTGAATTTACGAGTTAGATTTGCCAGTTGATCTGGAACTAGCCACTGATACTTTCGGTGTTATGATCTAGTTAAACATGCAGTGCAAAGACAAGACGCTCATGCAGGTGTCTATTAAATTTTAAATAAAAAAGCTCTGTAATAAAATTTTTTAGTTGATACTGATTTCAAAGTAAAAATTACAAAAGAACAATTTGTGTTTGTTAATTTTATTTTTTTTTAAATAATTATCTTATTAAACATTTTTTATCTATTTAGTGATTTTTTTATTTACTTTTTATTTTTGACCCATTTGTATTTATGATCATTTTTTTATCAAAATATTATAATATTTTCTTGTTTTACCTAAATTCAGAAAAAAAAAAAATAACAGGTTAGTTTGAAATATTTTTCCTTTGGATTGGTAACTACAGATTTGTTGACAAAATCATTTTTTTTCACATACTTAAATCAAATAATTTTAGTAACTTTTTAACATTTTTTTTAAATTTAGAAAACACAGTTGCTTGCCTGTATTACTTAAGCAATTGTGTGTACTGCAAAGTTCTAATTTGAAATAATAATATACACAATGTGGAATAAACATTCAATTTTTATTCTCATGTTTATACAATTGCATAAAACTTTAAATTAAAATTCAACTTACCAACTCTTGGTATTCAAACTGTAGATTTTTATACTTTTCTTCTGTTGAATTGCAAAGCATTTGAAGAGCCTGGTGCTCATCCTTAATTGCCTATTCAAATAAATGTTTTTTATTTTTAACATGTTTCCTTTTTTACATTTTCAAAAGATTTTACAATAAAAATAACAAACTCTGGAAAAAAATTTAAAATAGAAAAAATTTAACAGACAGAAATACACATAATGATTCAGATTGTTCATTTATATAAAAATTATTTAAATTATAAATTAAAATTATAATATTATAGCATTTTACATTTTCAAAAAAATCTTCAAAAAAATATAAACTAGCCTAAAATTAATTAAATTAATCAAAAAATTAAATAAAAATTAATTAAAGGAATTAATAGATAAAATTATGTTTATATACATAGAATATTTTGTCACTTGTTTTATTTTAGTTGTTGAATGTCTGGAGGTTTCTCCAATATAACTTGCATAACAGCCACCACAATTAAATTTGTCGACAAAATGAGCAGATCAGAGAGTGAAAGTGAAAGTAAATTTTTATATAAACAGTTGGATGACATAATTGCCATCTTTAATACTTTTTTGAAATAAATTAATGTAATGTAATCCTCAGTTTCTATGTATTAGTACTATTGTATCAGTAGTACTGATACAGTATCAGTACTACTGTATCAGTAGCAGGCAGTTTTTGTATTTATTTTACCGCAACTCATTACTTTTAGGCAACAGATATGCTTTTCTGTAATATCCTCTAAACTTTTGCCGATTTGAATTATTTCTATTTAAATATGTAAACATGCAGCTCTTTTTTAAACATGTTTTATTTTTTCAACTTATAAAAAATTAAAGCAAAATTAAAAATTACAAAAAGTAAATTTGTTTGAAACAAGTAACAACCTTTACTGATACTGTAACATGATTTTTATTAACTGCAAAGGATGTTACTGTAACCATTGAAACCATGCAACACTAACACAGCAAATATTGAGATGCAATAAAAAATAAATATACAAATTACAAGACCACACATTTTAAATTAAAAAAAAAAAGAAATCTTGTATATCATTATTACAAAGCAGACTCGCCTAGCCAAAGTAAAACAAAAATGTCTCTTTTATCTTAAAAAAAGAAGAATCATTGTTTCTACATGCATTGTTCCATTTCAGATTACAACTTATGTTAGAGAAGCAGTAACTGGTATTTGGGAAAACCCAAAAGCAAAGTTGCTCAATTCAAAATAAAAAACAATTTGTTTTAGATTGAATAAGTTTTTTTGTTAATTATTTTAATGAAATAAACTAATTAAACTTAAAAATATTAATAATAAACAAAAAAAAAGCATTCACAACTTCATGCAACATTTTTTTCAAAAGATTATTTGTCCACAGTGTTTATTTATATATATATATATATATATATATATATATATATATATATATATATATATCTATATATATATATATATATATATATATATATATATATATATATTTTTTATTTTAATTCACCTCCTCAAAGCCGAAAAGGCCACTACAGACGAGGAGACTACTTATTTGTGGTTATAACCCTCTCTCAACTCTATAACCTCGAAACAGGAACCTTGACGAGCAAGGCCGCTGCGCGGAGAAACGAGTTGAGCGCGGTACTACCTGGGACGTGGTGAGGATCGAACTCGGATTATAATTAGTAGTTTACCCCATTTTTTAACTACCAGGGACATGGTGGTACTACCAGGGACGTGGTGGTGAACGAACTCGGAATATAATTAGTAGTTTACCCCATTTTTTAACTAAGTAATTAAATTAAATTTATTTAACAACAAATAAACTATTCACAACAACAAAGAAAAGGTTGGCAAAAAATTATCAACCTCTGACACTATTATGTTCACATTTTAATTTAAAAACTACTAAAGATCCTAGCTTTTATCTTTTCTAGTGCATATTGATTGAATATAATTGTCAAAACACATTTCTATTAACTTTTACATAAAAAAAAAAAATTCTGACCAAGAAAGAGCTTATAATTAGGAAAAATTGCCAATAAATAAGTAGAACAGATCATATTAAACCTATTACATTTTAATATTCTAAAGTCCCCTTAACTACACTGAGTGTTAAGAATAAAAGTTTTTTACAAGAAGAGATAATTTTTGCAAGTTCTTTAAGTATTACAAATAAAGAATCATAAAAATACTAAAATGTAACAAAATACTCAAATAAACAGCTGCCTGTTATTTTAATATATAATCGCAAAAAAAAAAAAAGTCATATAGCTGCTGCAGCAAAGCAAGGGCTGCTTTGCAGGACTTGTGTTAATAAATAATGGTGAAAAAAGTATAGACATTGACCAAATGATAAGTACTCAAAAAAAATAAAAGAATAAGAAAAAATGCATTCAATGTATTAAGTCAGTTAGGACATGATAATCAAAAAATACAACCTACTTTTATAAAATGGTTACTACTTTCAGAAATAGAAGAGCAATACTCAAAATTTTGTGGGTGTTTAACACTAGGGCCCAGTACTTTAGGGGATATTGTAGATATTAAACATAACGAACAAATTAGGAATTTAATTGAACTTCATATGTATATGAATAAAATGTTTTAAATACTGAAGATAATAAATAAAATGATGTAAATTTCATTGATGGATAATAAAAAACAAGATCACTGCAATGTTAGTTTCCTTTTTCCATGATAACAAACTGTCGCTATGTAACAAATATACCACTATTTTCTTACTTTAGATGAAAAAACTAGTGGTCTTAATCAGTTTAAAGGAGAACCAGGTAAGCAACTGCAAAACCCCTAATGAAAGCCTCTAATGGCAAACTGTTATTAAGCCCCTAATGACAAAACTGTATTTCCAATTATTTCCCTTAATAATTCATTAATAAAACATTAGTTTTGTTAATAAATTGTTATTCCCTGAGTCATCCCTAGCTGTCTGTGGATCATCTTTAAGAGAAAGTTTTATTAAAGCAAAAATTGTATTTAAAAAAAAAAATGCTAAAACTTGATACAAAAAAAACATTTCAATATGTCACACTAAAAAGCAGTAAAAAGCATATGTTAGAAACATTGAAAATCTTATCAATTACTTGAATGATACAAATTTATTTATTCTTATTTTTTACTATTTTTTGTAGGAGGTAATAAACAAAAATAGTACATTAATAAATGTAAGAGATAATAAACCATTTACTTTGTTATCAAAGCATAAAGAAATGATAAAAATTGAGAAAAATACGTATTTGTAATAAAGACTTTTTGTTATTGGATATTTTATGAAAATTGTTTCTTTTCTTAGTTTAATTAAACATTAATGTTACTAATTTCACAGTAAGAGTATGTTAAGATTTAAAAAACATACAACCAAATTTCATCGCCTACACTACAGAAGTGCAGAAAAATAGATATAAAAAGTTTTGCGTTTTATATATGTATCTATATAAAGATAGATATATATATAAAACACAAAAAAATTTAATT